TCTAGTTAATGTTTTTTAAATTCTTACGTTGTGAATAGAATAAAATCTCGTTCTTCAAGGTGGAACATCCAAAAAATAAAGGGGGTTTCCCCTAATACCCTAAAATTGAACTAAAGAAAACTGAATGAATTTTTTAAAGTTGTATTTTAAAATTTCCCAAAATTTTTTCAGTTCTTTCCCCAAAACCCCTGCTATTTTTTTCAAACTTCACACAAAAAAATCCGCAACTTGGTTTTTGCGGGCCCGGGGGTTCAGTACCCAGACTGACGCGCATTTTTGCTTCAGTTTCACCCCTGGAAATCTAAAAATTAAACTTTCAGCACACTGTAAATCTTATTTGCACAGTAAAATGTACAATGGTTTACCTGTTAGCTTCATACATTATTTTTTTTTGGGTTGTTCTTAAAAAAAAATTCATAAAATTCTAATGCAAGACACAAGTATCTCTACTGTACTATAGTCACCGGGTTTCAACTGGTAAAATTTTTAGTCAGTGGCATCCACTTTCATATCTGTGGCATGAAAGAATCGGGCAGTGCTGGAGCACCATTTTTGTATATTGAAAGGTGACTCTCTTACTTCAAAATATGGGGGTGATATTGGTATGAAGCCCCATAAAAAACCCCCGGATACGATCATCTCTGGCAAAAATTTCCCTTGGGGGGGGTTTTCAAAAACCTGAAAAAGAAGGATTTTTAGATTTTTTTTTTTTTTTTTTTTTTGTTCCTCACACCCCTGTTAAAAGTGAGGAAGGTGTTCTAAATTTTTCAACAGCCAAAAAAGGGTGTGGACCTAAAATAGAGCCCATTAATAAAGCATTCACAGACGAAAGCAAAAGGAGGCAAGCTAGCTCATCCTGTTATGGCTCATATTTATTTTATTTTTTTTATTTATTTTTTTATTTATTTAGTAATTTTTAGCATACATACAGGGTACAAAAAAATCGAAAGAGCAGCATCCCAAAAGCCCTTTATGCATAGCTTATGGGCTGGCTAAAATTAATTTAAGATTAAAAACAATGAGAAATCAGGATAAAACTTATTGAAAACAGATACTATAAAGACAAATGGATTACAAAGACAGGTCTATGGTTCCCTGCATTGCTGTACTTTAGTCGAATGGGTTTCTTTTAGGTAGTGTATTTAAAAAAAAAAAGTTAGTTGGGGGTCCTAGGTTTAACATTTGTGTGTAAATTGTGAGTAAATTTAGGTTACAATTTAAAAGGTTCTTTATTCAGTATTTTTTTTGGTTTTGAGTGAGTAAGTGTCTTTGAGAAAGAGACTTAAATTTTAAAAAACAGGTAGGTTTCTTTTATATTTACGGAAATGAATTCCAGATTTAGGGCCTTTTTGTGCATTGATTTTTGCATAGCGTGGATGGACCGGGGAACATCAAAGGGATCTGTCCCTTGTGTTTGGTCATGTGTTCTTTTGGGGTGCAAGGAGATGTTTAGGGGGGGTTAATCGGGTTTAAGTGTTCTATGTATGAAAAGGGTCAGTAATAAATGGATGTTTTGATGTGAGTAGGGTTGAGTGTTTTAAATATTGGTGGAGTGTGCTCCCTGTGGAGAATTTGTTTTCATTCTAACTGCACCCTTTTTTTTGGGGGGAAATTTGTGGTCTGAGAGGTTAATTGTTTTTGAGCCCCATGTAAAATTTCCCATGGTGAGTTTGGGGTAAATAAGAGAGTGATAAAGGGCCGGGGGCTGATGGGGAAAACATAGTCCGTTTTCATGTATGCCTACAGTTTTGGGAATTTTTTTAGAAATTTGTTGTATATGGTATAAAATTTGAGTCTATTTAAAGGTGGTTCCTAGAATTTTTCCCCCTCGTTAGCTTTGTGATAGATGACCTTTTATCGTTTTTTAAAGGGTACATTGTATCTGTTACCAAAAAATGAAAATGAAGTAGGTTTTGTCAATGTTTAGTGAAGTTTGTTGCCCCTCTCCAGGTAGATATTTCCTGTAATGCATGTTTCAGTTTTGGCTAGCGTGACTGGGCTGGTGAGAGAAGGTATGTAGTGTCATTGCAATAGTGTGGGTTTGAGAAATTTGCAAAGCTTTTGGTTAGGTCATTTATGATAGGGAAAGAGAAGAGGGCCAAGGACATTCCCTGTGGGCACCAACTGTAATTGGTTTGTGCGGAAGAGCTTGCCCATTTGGTACACTATTTGGTTCTGTTCTGAGGTATGCTTGAGGTTTGGGGGGGGGTGCCCTCAAACCCTAGTGGGGACAATTTTACTGGGGCAAGTCATGGCAACTGTTTCAAAAATTTACGTAATCAATGAAGATCCCCCCGTGGGACTTCTTTTTTTTCTATTGCAGTTTATATGTTCTAGCATGTGTATTAGCTCATTAGTTTTTTATTAGGCCTGAATCCAAATTGGCAGGGGTTTTAGAAAGTTTTGGGGATGAGGTAGGGTAGATTCGTTTTTGAATAATTTTTTCGAAATTTTTTTAGAGGGGGTAAAATTGGATTTGGTTTTAGTTTTTCAACCTGTTTGGTTCCCCTTTATGGTTTGGGGTACCCCGCTATTTTGAGAGTGGGGAAGGGGGGGATTCAATGGTTTGTTAAAGAGTGTTGCAATGATGGTGATAGTACTTGTACACTTTTTTTTTATATAAAGGGTGGGAAAGGGATTTTAAATCTCCCGCCCTTTTTTTTTAGTGCGTTATAATAATGGAGACCGTATGGGGTTGTCGGAGCTAGGAACATGTGTTCGGGTAGTTGCCGTGAGGGACCTTTGTGGGGGATTGAGCTTGGGATTTTATTGGGAAGGTTTTGTCCTATAGTGGAGAAGAAATCATGAGTTGTTTGCTGTTTTGTTTGGGGGGGGTTGGGGTTCATCTGTTTTGTAATTTTTTTTCGCTTTTTCGTGATTCTTTTTTTTTCCAAATTTCTGATGGGTCTTCCAGGTCTTTTTTTAATCCCTGTAAGTTGGTAATCTGTTACTAAAACAAATTTTTTTTTCCCCCTTTTTCAGGTGGTTTGGATTGAGAGTAAAGGTTTTGTTTGGTCTCTGGTTATGTGACCCCCTTTTGTACTGTTTTTCATATCGGTGTTTTGTATTTATGGGTTTGGAATGCTGGGTGTGCCAGGGGGTTCAGTCTCTTAGCGTCATCTGTTTAGTTTTTTAGGCCGTGCTTGTTAAGGGTTTTGGGTCTTTTTTTTGAAAAAAATTTAAAACATTGTCAATATTGTATAGATTTCTAGCTCATGTGCCCGTCAAGTTTTTTACTGCTGTTGTGAAGTTATTAAAGGGGTGCCCCATTGTGAATCTGAAAGGTGATTTAGTAGTGCTTGGGGGATTTTACCAAGAGTTGTTATGAGGGAAAATAGGGTAGTGGGCTGTGGTATTATCTGTAAAATTTTGCCCGATTTAGTAAAAATTTGGGAAATTTCAGAAATTTTTATTTTTATTTTTTTAATCAAATGCATTTTATGTTTGGTATTACAAAACAATTAAAGTTCTTTTTAATAAATTTAAAAAAAACAACAATTATATTTTTTTTTTTTTTTTTTTTTTTTTTTTTTTTAAAAAAGTCGGGCCCTCTCCCACCGAGGCGGTACGTCCTATCCAAAACACCATCCTTCCCTTTACTTTTTAAGAGAATGACTACGTTGATTAAAAAAAAAAAAAAAGTAATGAAAAGAAACATTAATAACCCCCCCACTCTTGGTTGGAAAAATCTTGTGAAAGGAATATTCCCTACAAATTCATTTTATAATCCTCTTGGGCAAGACAATGATGACATCAACTTCAAATGCCTGAGAAATTTTTGTCAAGTCTTGTAGCCCTTACTTAAACCCGCCACAAGTGTTTATAATAACTCCAGAAGCGCTACTACAAAAACAAGAAAAAAGGGAAATTGCAATCTAATTTCTTAAAAAACATATCATGATAATAAGCAGGGGTATGGAAGAAACTTTAAGAAAACAGTGGCCCCCGCAAACGATACCCCCGAAAGCGACAATTATGTAAATGTTTTTGTAAGGCTTTGTCAAAGTATGTTTGGGGGCGAAAGGGAATAATCTACTTCACAATTTTCCTTATGGGAAAAAAATTTGGGCAGTACTGGCCCCGAACATACTTCTGGAGTGAAAAAATCGTTAACGGGGGGCCCCTGTCTTTTTCAAATGTGCACTTACAGGGTTTTTTCAGGTCAAAAATAGATGTCCTATTTTTTAATGTAAATGCATTTCCAATCAATGGCACTATACTATTCTTAACGGCCCTTAAATATTAATTTTGCATAAAAAATTGAATAATAATGGTGAATGTGTTATCTCTTTTTTGGATAATCTACTCAACGGGGATGGGGTGCATTAAAAAAAAAAAAAAAAAGACTCTTTTAGGGGTCTTGAAAAACCATTTTTAATCATGTGGTAAATGTAAAAACAAAAAAAAATTAGCAAAAGAAATACAGGTGGAGATATTGAGTTTTAGGGGCTCTGAACTGTTTTTGGCAAGCCCCGGCAAGACAGTGATAGATGAGCAAGATGAAAAATGTTTTTTCTTATTTTTGGGGTCCCCTACCCTTGGTGGGAGATGGCCAGTGTGAATTTCAAAAATGAGGGAACAGTATACATTCAGGAATGGTATGCAAAAACTTGGTGTGAAGCAAACCTTTATTTAGTATTATATTAAAGGATTGTTCTGCAATGAGTGATTTACCCTACCTGTCAACAGTTCTGCCACCCTTCACTCAGGAAACCCCGTAAGTTTTTCTGTACACCACCAGATTTGACCACCCCACGCTTTTAGCCCCGTCTTGCCTCCTTTCCCCCAAACAAAGTTCCATTTATTTCCTTAACCCTTTGAGTGGATGTATTGATTTGCATTTTTTGATGCCAGGGGTCCCCCAATGTGTCTACATTTGGGGAACAGTTCCCTGTGATACAGTGGCAGAAATTTTGGGCCCACATACGGAAGGCTCTGCACGGCGATGTATACAGTATAAAAAAAATAGCAACTTGGTGTCTTCTTGGTTTTTATGGCTTACTGACTGATTCTTGATATCTTTTGATAGAATGGAAGATATACTACTAAATTTGTTAGTTTTCAGGACTAGAAGTAACTTAAAATTGGGATCTAAGTAAAAGAAATATTAAATTTTTGCCAATTTCCCTTGAAAAGAGATAGGTCTCTTACATCCCCTCCCCCCAGTCTGTTTTGTGGCTTTTTAATAGGTCCTGATTTAATTACAGCCTCTCCTCACTTAACGACCGAGTTCCATTCCTAAGACCACGTCGTTAAACAAATTCATCACTAAGTGAGGATCATACTATAATGGTACCAAGTTTGTCTCAACCATCTTTGATATTGTTTCTGTCACCTTTGCACCATTTATAACATTTCTGGTATATTTTTAAATGTTGATAGAATAGTGTGCTGTATATTGAAATAAACAGAATAGAGGAAATCAGCTTTAATATACATTATTTAGGTACGAATACTGGTCAGAGAGCCCGTCATAAGTCCAAGGCGTCGGTAAACAAGTACGTCGCTAAGTAAGGAGAGGCTATTGGGATGCTATAAACCATGACCAATCATTCCTGGTTATGTTTTATCTAACAGGGAAAATCCTCAACTTCTGTGATTATGAATTCAAAATTGATAGCAAGAATGTGGCTGAATCGAGCAATGAAACTGGCTTAAATAGGAATCAGAGTGAGAGAAAACACCAGGGCATAAATTGTGCCCAGATCACTAACTTGTGCCTGCATAATTCCATAACTTTTCTATCAAATTTTGCACTGTTGGCATCATTACCTTCAGAAAAAGATTCTCTATCATTTCAGAAGTTTTTTAACCCTTTGACTGTCACAACCCCAATTCTGAAACTGTCTCAGTGTCGCAAAATATTCGGGAAAAAAAAAATTTTCTTACCAAAATGTTAAGATTAACTTGCTGATTGTTTTAAGCCCCCCCCCCCACCCCACCCCCAAAAAAAATTGCGTGTGGCAACAGCGGTGAATGCCACTCACCCGGTAAAATTATTTTTACTTTCATTCAAAGGTTTCTTGTGTATTTTCCAATATTTTACTTTTTCAATTAACTTACGTGGCCTGTGAGACCAAATGGTGCAATGTACATATATACACTTGTTGTATGGAACACAATAACTGCACAAACATTATCATTATATTGTTTACAAAACTTGTTTACACAAACCAACAATACAAAAAGTTGTTTATTACTATTGTTCTATAATATATATAAAAATGTACAGTCACTGGACACTTTCCTAGAAGTGCTGCAGCTTGTAGAACTCTTTGAACATGGTGTTATACACAGTCCTGTTTTACACTCCTCACACATAAAATGAGTGTCTCTGCATTTTTGTTGGCAGGTTGTTGTGGTTGTGGAAGTTGTTGTGGTTGTGCAGGTTGCTGTGGTTGTGAAAGTTGTTGTTGCTGTGGTTGTGAAAGTTGTTGCTGTGGTTGTGAAAGTTGTTGTTGCTGTGGTTGTGCAGGTTGTTGTGGTTGTGAAGGTTATTGTGGTGTGTGAGTGGTTGAAGCTGGCCTTTCTGTGCATGTGCTGAGTCATGTACCCAGGCTACCAGCCTGGTTACATAACATAGCATTATACCACCACCTGCTACTGCATGTATATACCATCCCAATTGTAACATTACCCATACCTTCCTTCCTTACATCTTCTTTCCTTCCTTCCTTCCTCTCATCTCTTTCCTTCCTTCCTCCCTTTCTTTCTTTCTTAATTCCTTCCTTCCTTCCTTTCTTCCTTCCTTCCTCCCTTTCTTCCTTCTTTCCTTTCTTCCTTCCTTACTTTTCTTCCTTCCTTCCTTCCTTCTGGTATCCTGGGCATTGCTTTCGGTCACAAACTCCTCAAAACCATGAAATTCATCTTCACTGACCAGATTCGCCGGGGAGTCAGATATTTCTTACCACTAGGCATGCTGAACAAGGACTACTGAAATGGCATTCCCACAATGCACCACTGACTCCCTGACTTTTTTTATACTGCACACACTGACCATGGAGACCCATTCTCTCACATGTGGGCCTACCAGCTTTCTCCCGCTTGATTTGAAGCCGCTAGTATTTTGGCGTATTAATACGTCAAAAACGTTGGCTCATAAGACGTATGTATACGGTCAAAACAGTCAAAGGGTTAAATGTGGACACAGAACAATATTAATTTCAGGGGTCTGGACATAGAAAGGGTTAAGATTAACACCTGCTCAATGTCTGAGTTATGTGGACACTACCACCAAAATACTAGGTGGAACAGAAGCACGGCCTTTGACAGTATTTCCATCATGTGTTCAAGTAGGTCAAACTTAAGCTATTTGCCATGAAAGGATATAACAAAAATGGTATATTGCAAGTTCACTGTTGACAGGGAGGGGTGTATAGGCTATCCTAGGAAATATATCCACAATAGCATACTCTTATTTAGTTCCTGAAAACTGGGTTATAATGAAAATAAGCTGGGTCAGGGTGTCCCAAGGTTATCAGAATTGAGGGTATCCATCTATATTTTTTTCACAACAATATCTACCAAAAAATATACAATGTTCACAACATATGTTACCTTTTCTATTGCCAACCATTTTGTCTTGAACTGTGGCTGCCATTCTAGACACCAGGATGTTGTAAAATGTCAAATTGGCTAGTGGGACTAAGTGTCCAAAGTTGTAGACCAAGGGAGCCTCCTGAGAGAAGCCTTCACCTACTGAGGCAGCACGCTCAACCAGTATAGCCCCTAAAAAGATAAAAATTATAGTTTATATTTAATTTATATTTCAATCTCAATGTTCAGGTGATAAGCCTCCATACATCCAGCTTGGCCTAGAAGGGCCACAGCAATTCTCTCCACACACACTTCCATGTCAACCAGCAACATGAATTAAAATGTAATTTATAGATTTCCATGTACTACTATGTACTGTATTACAATATTTTAAAAAATTATGCATTTGGCATTTTTAGCAGTGTCTGGAATGCAACCTTATTCTCCCATGTCTTATTCACTTTACAGAACATTGTTTTACATACGATGAAGGTTTTCACGAATACATCCATAGTATTATGAGCGTTTGTTGTACGTACTTAACTAATGCAGTAATACTGTACAGCCTCTCCTCACATAACAATGGAGTTCCATTCCTTATACCACGTCAGTAAACAAATTCATCGCTAAACGAGGAGCACTACGTATAATGGTAGTGGGTTTACGTCAACCATCTTTGATAATGCTTTAATGTCACCCTTGCACCATTTATAACATTTTTAGTATATTTTTAAATATTTATACAGTAGTGTACTGTATACAGCCTCTCCTCACTTAGCAAAGTACTCGTTTACCGATGCCTTGGACTTACGACGGGCTCTCTGACCAGTATTCACACCTAAATAATGTATATTAGAGCTGATTTCCTCTATTCTGTTTATTTCAATATACATGTACTACAGTACACTACTGTATAAACATTTAAAAATATACCAGAAATGTTATAAATGGTGCAAAGGTGACATTAAAACAATATGAAAGATGGTTGACACAAACTCACTACCATTATAGTATGTTCCTCACTTGGCGATGAATTTCTTTAACCCGTAAACGGTCCAAACGTATATACACGTTTTTTCAACATTTGAAAGTATGTAAAAAAAGTAGATCTTCTTTTTGTTTTTCTACATTTGAAAATATGTAAAAAACTTAGATCTGCTTTTGTAGCACTACACATCTGCTTGGACCGTTTACGGGTTAACAACGTGGTCTCAGGAACAGAACTCCTTTGTTAAGTGAGGAGAGGCTGTATTGTAATAAACAGAACAGAAGAAATCAGCTCTAATATACAATATTTAAGTATGCATACTGGTCAGAGAGCCCGTCGTAAGTCCGAGTCGTTGGTAAACGAGTACGTTGCTAAATGAGGAGAGGCTGAATGTGTAGAACAAACTCATATCAAGTGACCTCTGATTACACCTTTGAAAACCCATTATATTTTACCGTATAACTTACCTATAGTGCCTGGAATAGCAATAGATCCTTGACCAACATCCAAATCCACGAAGATGGGTCTGCGTCCCATACGCACAGCATAGTTTAGAAGAATTCGGCACAGGGTTGATTTTCCTACATCTCCAGGTCCCACAATCATTGTAACTGGCCCTCTAGTGTCTTCTCCACGATTCAATCCTTCATCAGCATGTTTTCGTAATCGTTCTAAACACGCATGCGTATTTAAATACATAACCTGCCATATAAAAGCATGACAAAAATTTTTAAAACATACTGATGCTTATCTATTACAGTGTATCATTTCTTCAATAGATATTATATCACTAGATTGTACAGTACTTTGATACAGAAAATGCAGTACAATACTAACCATTGGAGTTTCTTTTGCAATGTATGTACCTTCTGTATTTCCTGTGAGCTTGAGAGTACAACCATGCCAGGTATACACAGCAGCCTTGGCACGGAGAAGAAAGTATAAGGCTTGTCTGGTGCCAGCTCTGTTCCAAACACTTCTGCTTTTCCACTTAATAACTGTTAATGTCAAAAAAAAAAAAAAAAAAAAAAAATCAGCGGATGCCTGCAGTACCAGCACTTGGAAATTACCTATTAAATGATAACAAGCCATACTTGGTTGAACATCAAGTGTAATTTTTTTTTACATACCATTATTTGAATAATTAATACAGCATTATTTATAAACATTATGGTTAAGAGAGAAAACAAGAAAAAATATATGTCTACACTCATTTACGTAGGTGCCATATTGAGTTTTTCATTTACTGTAAAGCACAATTTTAAAATTAACTAAATAAATTTTTGGATAATGTTTTACAAATATAAAGTCCTACGTGTGTGTGCCTTTGGCAAAAAATATAATAGTTTTGTGTCTATCCAAATTGTGTCTTACTATACCATGCCCATTTTGATTTTCAAAAACGGTATAGATAAGTTTATGTAATGCACTGCTCCTCAGCACTCATTGTTTGTTAATTCTGTGCTCAATTTGTGTTTTCTGCCACCCATTCTTTGAATACAGTATCAAAAATCTTTCTGTAAAACAAAATGTAATAATACCTACTAAAATCTTACCTTCAAGTCAACAGTCTCTTTTTTTCCTTCAACTTCAAAACGAAGTTCACAGTCTGGTTCTAACTTGAATTCTTTTTCAGTCATTTTGCCTTGAATCGTCATCAACACTACTGACAACTGCAGGAAAAAACAAAAAGTTGTGTGTCTAAAAATATGTTTGAACATTTCCTTACAAAACTTTATCACTAATGACACCATCTGTACTCATAAACAGTTACCCAAGGTTCACTATCAAAGTTAACTTAAAGTTAAATTAGACCAATCATTGTATTTGATAACCTTATGTTCAAACAGCTTTGTTATGTTAATCTTAGCATTCACATCATATCCCTTTAGTTAAACAATGTGAAGTACAATAATTTTAGGTTGGTTGTAGTCACATAATTTTTTTTAAGTAGTTTTAGCATTAGTCTGCCAGAACTGCTTTGCATAACTATGGACTATTTCATGTGAAAAACTACTAATGTTAAACCTCTGTAACACAAATGTATCTCCTTGGAAAATAAAAGTTTTAGTTGTTATATTTATTTATTACTGTATGACTTTGTTCCACTGGTATACTAGTTTTCCTCAAGAAGGGGAAGGTGGTAGTGGTAGGGGAGGGTGGTAGTGATGGTGGTAAAGGATGGTAGTGATGGTGGTAAAGGATGGTAGTGATGGTGGTAGAGGGTGGTACTGATGGTGGTAGAGGGTGGTAGTGATGGTGGTAGAGGGTAGTGGTGATAGTGGTAGAGATAACCCCCCTCCCTTCCCCTCCTCACCATCTTCCATATGCCAACAAGAATCTTCAATAAATGTAACAGTGATTTAAATGATGGCATCTGGAAGATAGTGAGGAGTGAGAGAGCACTTTAGGTAACAAGTCTTCATCTGGGGTTACTTCCCTTCTTTAAGATTTCCCTAAAATGGGACATGGTTCTGTCACTGAACTTGTTGCAGAGATGTCTTGTTTCAGCTTGCTCAAGGTGATATTTTTCAGCAAATGCCTGCACCCTATTCCACACTGCACAAATCTCCTTAATCTCTGAAGAAGGCAATATCCACCATCCACCACCATCCACAGCCATCCACCAATACTATCCACCACCACCATCCCCAATCCACCACCATGGTAGTTTATTTCACAGTCACACTTAATAAACATGCACCAAACACAATGAATTAATTGTGAAATGTTTAAATGAGCACGCAGGTTAGTGTTCACTCAAGCATAAACAAAGCCAGACTGGCTCACGACACCTCCACGAGGAAGCGGGACAGAGTGAGCAGGTGGACAGGTCCGGTACCCGATGGTTCGAAAGACAGGGCACGTTTGATAGGACAAAACTGGTTAAAAAAAAAGCAGTCGAAACTCAAATCGTTCGATAGTCGATACGTTTGAAACTCGGGGTTCCATTGTATATAATGTGTGGGTGGGTTGGCAAGATGGGGTTACGATACCTAAAACACTATTCGATACCTACCTACCCTACTAGTCACCTTGCACCCTATATTAAGACCATTAAGACTACAAATATTTTAAGGTAAGTAATGAGTGTACACTATATGCATTTTATCGCTCTAGGGCTCTTTAAATCGAAGTATATTACGTGTGGGTGGGGTGGGTTGGGGTGGCCTGGCTGGCTACCAGTCCTCCCACACCTAACGTCTTAAAATAAACACTACTCACTGCTCACTCTACACTGGGACTACAAACCTAACCTGCTGTATAAGTGGGACCCTACTGTATATTAGAGCTGATTTCCTCTATTCTGTTTATTACAATACATATATAATAAACTACTGGAGTATACCTGGAAAAGGTTTTGGGGTTCAATGCCCTGCAGCCCGGTCTGTGACCAGGCCTCATGGTGGATCAGGACCTGATCATCCAGGCTGTTACTGCCGGCCACACCCAACCTGATGTATGAACCACAGCCCAGCTGGTCAGGTAATGACTAAGTACCTGTCCAGTGTCTTCTTGAAGACAGTCAGGGGTCTACTGGTAATCTCCCTTATGTATGCTGGGAGGCAGGTGAATACTCTTGGGCCCCTGACACTTACTGTGTTGTCTCTTATCATACTAGTGGCACCCCTGCTTTTCATTGGGGAGATGTTGCATTGTCTGCCGAGTCTTTTGCTTTCATAAGGAGTGATTTTCGTGTGCAAGTTTGGTACCAATCCCTCTAGGATTTTCCCAAGTGTATATGATCGTGTATCTCTCCCGCCTGTGTTCTAGGGAGTACATGTTGAGGAATTTTGTGTGTTCCCAGTAACTGAGGTATTTTACAGCAGTCATGTGTGTTGTGAAGTTCTCTGTACACTTTCTAGGTCAGCAATTGCACCTGCTTTTAAAGGTGCTGTTAGTGTGCAGCAATATTCAAGCCTAGATAGAACAGGTGACCTGAAGAGTGTCATCATGGGCTTGGCATCCCTAGTTTTGAAGGTTCTCATTATCCATCCTGTCATTTTTCAAGTAGATATGACTGATGCAATGTTATGGTCTTTGAAGGTGAGATCCTCTGACATGATCACTCCCAGATCTTTTACGTTAGTTTTTTGTCCTATTGTGAAGTTGGAATTTGTTTTATACTGGAACAGAGCTTTTCACTGAAGCCACCTCAGACTTTACTCTGTTTACTACTACTCTTTGTGTTCTATTTGTTAGGAATAAACAGATCCACCTACCAACATATCCTGTTATTCCTTTATCACACATTTTGTGCGCTATTACACCATGGTCACACCTGGCAAAGGCTTTTGCAAGCTGTGTATACTACATCTGTGTTTTGTTCATCTTCTAGAGCATGCAGGACCTTGTCATAGTGGTCCAGTAGTTAGGACAGACAGGAGCAACCTGCTCTAAACCCATGTTGCCCTGGGTTGTGTAACTGATGGGAATCGAGATGGGTGGCGACCTTGCTTCTTATAACCCTTTCAAAGATTTTTATGATATGGGACATTAGTGCTATCGGTCTGTAGTTCTTTGCTATTGCTGTACTGCCCCCTCTGTGGAGTGGGGCTATGTCTGTTGTTTTTAGCAGCTGTGGGATGACCCCTGTGTTCATGCTCCCTCTCCATAGGATGTTAAAAGCACATGACAGGGGCTTCTTGCAGTTCTTGATGAACACGGAGTTCTGTGATTTTGGGCCTGGGGCAGAGTGCATGGGCATGTCATTTATCACCTTTTCAAAGTCATTTGGTGTCATGGTAATATCAGATAGGTTTGAGTCTGCAAAATTCTGTGTCTCACTCATAAAAAATTCATTTAGATCTTCAACTCTCAGTCTGGTTAGCGGCTCGCTAAAAACCGAGTCATACTGGGACTTGAGTAGCTCACTCATTTCCTTGCTGTTATCTGTGTAGAACCCATCTCGTTTAACCCTTTGACTGTTTCGGTCATATATACACGTCTTACGAGCCACCGTGTTTGACATATACGTATACATATACTCAAAAATTCTAGCAGCTTCAAATCAAGCAGGAGAAAGCTAGTAGGCTCACATGTGAGAGAATGGGTCTGTGTGGTCAGTGTGTACCATATAAATAAAATCCTGCAGCACGCAGTGCATGAGAAAAAAAAAACTCTGACCGTGTTTTTGGATTAAAACACTGACTTTGCCGTGTATTTTCGTATAGTATTTATGGTTGTATTCTTGTTTTCTTGGTCTCATTTGATAGAATGGAAACATATTATAGAAACAGAGGTGATTTTGATTGGTTTTACTATGAAAAGAACCTTGAAATGGAACTCAAAGTAGGGGAAATGTTTGATTTTTGCCGATGTTCAAAAGTAAACAAATGACGTCATTGTCCAATAAATATCCAACTAGCCATTCTAATATGCAGTCATGAATGGGTTGACATTATTTATACAATTATTAGAATATTGCAGTAGTCTGCATAACAGTAAATCTTCTATTTTTTGTTTGAATAAAAATTCAAAACAGAAAGCAAGAGTAATATCAGAGGGGCCTAGAAGCATGACTGATGAACAAAGAAAATGTTATTTTAGAGCCGGTAATGTCTGCATTGTTCATTCTGGGCCCTATTTTGAAACTGGCATATTTTTTAATTTGCATGAAATTGGCCAAATTGCAAATTTCTGACCACGTTATTGGGTAGTTGAAATCAGTAAATGGGCAGTTTCTTGTATACTCAATCGATAGAACAAATGGAATTCTAAAGAAATAGCTATGAGTTTGGTCGACTGGAACAATGGAATTAGCCGAAAATAGGGCTCAAAGTGGGCGAAGTCGCTGATTCATAAATATTGCCGAGGTCACTAACCTCGTGAGAGCATAATTCCGTAAGTTTTCCATCAAATTTCGTTCTTTTGGTGTCATTACCATCGGGAAAAGATTCTCTATCATTTCATAAGAAAAAATAATTTTTTTTTTTTTTTCAAAAATTTTTTGACACCAGGTGACACCTCAGGGTTAAGTAGGAGCCCAATACTGGATGTTACTGTCGACTTTAATTTGGTATAAGAAAGAAATATTTTGGGTTTCTTTCACTTTCATTTATGGCTTTCAGTTCTTCCAGCATTTCTTGACTCCTGTAAGATTCCTTTAGCTTTAGTTTGATGTTTGCTATTTCTCTGACCAGTGTGTCAGTATAGCTACTGAATCCCCTTATATGTATACTTGTGTAGTATATTGTGGATCGTATCATCCATGTATATATCTAGGCTTCCTGGTCAGTAGGCTCAGTGACTAGCATGTGTGACGTCACGTGGCGCTGTTGTGACCCCTTCGCGCCTGGGATCCTTCTCAGTTCCCGTCAGACCTACCAAGCAGCTACAGGCAGGTTGGGCCTCCCTCTTCACACTCTGCCAATATATGTGTTACCATCCAACAAGTGTGCTTAACTCCAACCATCATATCTCCTACGAACCCCCACTACAAATGGTGCCAGCGGAGGGCCTGTAATTCTGTCGATTACAGCGATTTCTGGAGATAAATTTCTACTGAGCCAATCGCCATTTTGTGACACTTAGGCCTCCCAAGACGGGTGATGCTCAACATCCCAAGCCAGCTACCCCAAGCAAGCGTTCACCAGCCTATTGCTTCCTACTTACTGATCAGTCTCTGTGTATTAGCGTTTTATTTGCTTATTTGCATTACTTCCGAGGGGTTGACCCGGGTTTGCAAAGTAAGCCAAGCCACCAAGCCAGTCTGTGGGGGGGGGGGGGAGTCCAGCCAGCCCTACACCATCCAGCCTGTCT